AAGATTGAATATACTATGGACTGCCAATTGAACAAATAGGTTCATCCTAGAGAGGGTGAAACCAGGCTGCTTCTTGGAGGCAAGCATTCTAAAGCTTTGTATGACATAATTTTGACATGTTGCAAGGCGGAACCAGTCCTTGGAGAGGGACATCATGCTTGGAAGTGTGGAGGGACAGTGCAAGAAAGGAAGACCCTTGATGAGATGCATTGATTCAGTGACCAGGGTAATGGAGGTGGGTGTGTCAGAGACAATAAGATTGGCACAGGATAGAGGACGGTTTAGGGTTCTTGTATATAAGGCTACTATGTCACAGGTGACTCTACGGAACATAACAACAATAGTGTGTAAAGAGTTGTCTGCTAACCTAAAGGCCACACCACCCTGGTGGTTGGAATCCACTAGCCACTCCTCAAGAGAAGCATGGGCAATCTCCTATTGTGCAATATAGAGACTGGGAAGTCCAATGGAGGACAGATATGAGGCAACTCGAACTCAACAGCTATCACTGAGCAAGTGAACTCTATGGGGCATCTTGTCCAACTTCTTTACTTTTAGATCCCCAGACACGAGTCATATAAGAGACTTCCAATAAGCATTTCTTGAATAAATCAAAGAATGAACAAAAGAACACCTCTTAAATTCAATTTACTTTGGAAACAATTACCATACCTAATATTAGGCAATAGCACCAGCAGTCAGGAAATCAAAAGATGAATTTCATTGGGAAAAACTGTCAGGGACTTCTCGAGAACACGGAAAAGTAATGATGTCTGTCAAAAGACTAAGGTGCTCCTAATCCAGACCATGGTCTCTGCAATTACTTGCTATGCATCAGACAGCTGGACAATTACTAACGATCACAGAAAAAAGAATCGCTGCCTTTGAGTTGTGGTGCTGGAGAGGAGTCTTGACCATATCATGGATTGCCAAGAAAACAAATAAGTCTTCCTTGGAGAGGGTGAAACCAAGTTTCTCTTGGAGGCTAGACTTTTGAATCTCTGTCTCACATACTTTGGGCATGTGGCCAGGAGGGACTGGTCCTTGGATTAGGACATCACACTCAGAAGGGTGAAGGAACAGCACAGGAGAGGAAGACCTCGGATGAAATGAAATGATACAGTATCTGGGGCAACAGGGGTTGGTGTGTTGAAATTCGTAAGACTGGCTCAGGACAGGACAGGATTCAGAACTGCTGTACATAGGGTCACTATGGGTTGCAGGCAACTCATCGACAGCATATAACAACAAAAACAACAACAATATTGGGCATCCTTTCAGCTAATCAATACAAGGTGAAAGAAGTAGATTATTTAATACATTATTTAATTTTTAACAAATAATAAATGAAAACCAAGTATTGTCAAACACTCTATGAGGTACTGCAATACAAAGATGAGCAAGAGATATAACTTTTTATTTAATAAAGGTAGTAGAGATTGCTAAAATTAAAGTTAACCTTTGTATTCTATTTTAGCCAAAGCTGTAAGTCATTATAATGAGTTTTTTAAAGCACTTTAAACTTTCTATCTGATCAAAGAGACAGCACAACATTGCAGTGATTTTCTCCAAACCGAAGGGACAACAAAATTATTTTAAAATGTGAATGAAAAGAGGAGATAAGAAAATGTTCTTAGTGCATCAATACACATGCAATCCATTTTTTGTAAAATCAAGAATTAGCTGTTAATTTTTTTTCTTGGTCTAGAATTCAATGTACAAAGTATGTGTTTGTGTGGGGGGTGTATAAAATTACATTTTAAAATGTTAAATTACGTACCTCTTTGCCCAATTTTCTTTGATAGGCTTGTTGCCGTAGTCCTAATCCCAATAATCCCACACCAACAAACAGCCACAATACTAAACAAAAACAAGAAACAAAAGTTTAAAAGAAACAAAGTTCATGAACTTAAAAATACTTTTTAAATATTTTGATTATCAATCAAGGGTTTTATACAAAGGAGAAATGTCTATTCCATACCTAAAATCCAGCCCTCAAATAATCACCCCTTAAAAGTGACCCAGGACCATGATCTTAACATTAAAACAAGCAAAAATCAATTTCCAAGACAAATCTTTATGATCAAGAAACAGAAATGGGGAAAATGAGGTAGAATCAAGCCTACAGAGATCGTAGCTATTGAACTTGAGAAATCAGAATACAGAAGAAGTGTTCAACATATTTTAAAAAATTAAAGTGGAGGTATGACTAAAGAACGCAAAGCTATACTGAATTACCAGAAAAAGTTGTAGAAAAGAAAATGGAGTTCTGAGAATAAAAATATAATAACTGAAATAAGAAATTCAATTAACAAGATAAAAAGCATATTAGAAAAAGCTGAATGGGGAATAAGATACTGAAAGGCATATCTGAGGCAATTATAAATGGCTCAAAATATGAAAGCAATCAAGAGATTTAAAGAACAGAAAAATAAGTCTGTTGTTGTTGTCGTTGTATGTGCCGTCGAGTTGCTTGCGACTCGTAGCTACCCTATGTACAACAGCCCTAAACTC